CTGGTATTCTTGTGTCTAATAACAAAAGATAAAGTATAGTAGCTGGGTATATAGTCATTATCTTACATCTATGGGCTACTCTTTCCTTCATCTTTAAAATTACATGGTTGGGCCAGATACCCCAACCGCTTCTAATTCTAAAAATTTAGAAAGTTTATTCATGAGGTTCAAAATACCATGCAAGTCTAGATCAGATGCCATTGATATATATATGTGTGTGTGTGTGTGTGTGTGTGTGTGTGTGTGTGTGTGTATGAATATTTGGATGTACGTGTTTGTATTTGTATATGTATCCCTCCCAGAGAACATGTAGCAATGTCTAGAGACACCTCTGATATCAAAGCTAGGTGAGGAGGATGCTACTAGTACAGGCATACCTCATTTTATTGCATTCTGTTTTATTGTACTTCACAAATACTGCATTTTTTATAAATTGGCAGTTTATGGCAACCCTGTGTCAAGCAAGTCTATTGGTGACATCCTAACAGTATGTGTTCATTTCATGTCTCTGTGTCACATTTTGGTAATCTCACAATATTTCAAACTTTTTATTACTATATCTGTTATTGTGATCTGTGATCAGTGACTTTGATGTCACTATTATAATTGTTATGGGGCACCACAAACAATGCCCAAATAAGATAGCAACCTTAATTCATAAATGTTGTTTGTATTCTAACTAATTCATGGACTGGCCCTTCTTCCATCTGTCTTCCACTCCCTGGGCCCCCTATTCCCTGATATACAACAGTATTAAAATTAAGAAAGTTAATAACCCTACAATGGCCTCTAAGGGTTCAAATGAAAGAAGAGTCCTATCTATCTTCTGGATAGAAGATCAAACCAGCCATAACATTCCTTTAAGCCAAAGTTTAATCCAGAGCAAGGCTCTAACTCTCTTCTATGGAGGCTGAGAGAGGTGAGAAAGACGCAGACCGGAAGTTTTAAGCTAGCAGAGACTGGTTAATTAGTTTTAAAGAAAGAAGCTGTCTCCATACCATGAAACTGCAAGGTAAAGCAGCAAGTACTAATGTAGAAGCTGTGGCAAATTATTTAGAAGCCGTAGCTAAGATAATTGATAAAGGTGACTACACTTAACAATAGATTTTTAATGTAGATGAAATAGCCTTATATTGGAAGAAGATGCCATCTAGGATTTTCATAGCTAGAGAGGAGAAGTCAGTTTCTGGCTTCATAGCTTCAAAGAACAAGCTATTAGGAGCTAATATAATCAGCGACTTTAAGTTGAAGCCAATGTTCATTCACTATTCTAAAAATTCTAGAGCACTTAAAAATTATGCTAATCTACTACTCTGCCTGTGCTCTCTAAATAGAACAACAAAGCCTAAACAACAGCACATCTATTTACAGCATGGTTTACCGAACATTTAAAGCCCATTGCTGAGATCTGCTCAGAGAAAAAGATTTTCTTTCAAAATATTACTACTTATTAAAATATATCTCGTCACCTGAGAGTGCTGAGGTAGATGTACAAAGAGGTTACTGTTTTCCTATCTGCTAACACAACCGCTATTCTGCAGCACTGCATCATGAAGTAATTGTGACTTTCAAGCATTAATATTAAAGAAATACATTGAGTAGGGCTATACCTGCCATAGATAGTGATTCTTCTGATGTATCTGGGCAATGTTAATTAAAAACTTTCTGGAAAGGATTCTCCATTCTAGATACCGTTAAGAATGTCTGTGATTCCTGGGACTAGCAACATTAATGAGACTTCATTCTGATTTGGTTACATTAAAAGTAGTTTAGAAGAAGTTAATTCTGACCATCGTGGATGAGTTTCAGGGGTTCAGGGCTTCAGTGGAGGAAGTAAATACAGATGTGTTAGAAATAGCAGGAAAGCTGGAATTAGAAGTAGAGCTTGAAGATGTGGCTTAATCACTGTATCCTCACGATAAAACTTGAACAGCTGAGAAGTGTCTTCCTACGGATGAGCAAAAAAAAAGATTTCTTGACATAGAATCTACTCCTGGTACAGATAGATTCTGTGAACACTGAAATGACAACAAAGGATTCAGAATATTACATAAACTTAGTTGATAAAGCAGCAACAGGCTTTGAGAGAATTATCTTCAATTTTGAAAGAAGTTCTGCTGTGGGTGAAATGCTATCAAACAGCATCACATGCTACAGAGAAACTTTCATGAAAGGAAAAGTCAGTCCACACAGCAAACCTCATTGTCGTATTTTAAGAAATTGACACAGCCACCCCAGCCTTTCAGCAACCATCACCCTGATCAGCCGGAAGCCTCAACATTGAGACAAGACCCTCCACGGGCAAAACACTGTGACCCCCTGAAGGCTCGGATGGCCATTAGAATTTTTTAGCAATAAACTACTTTTTAATTAAGGTACATACATACGTTGTTGTTGTTGTTTTTTTTTTTTTAGATAAATGCTATTGCACATTTAATAGACTGCAGTGTAATGTGAACATAACTTTTATATGTCCTGGGAAAACAAAAAAATTGTGTAACTTGCTTTATTGTGATATTCATTTTATCACTGTGGTCTGGAACTGAACCCACAGTATCTCCGAGGTATACCTGTATATATAATGGGTAGAGGCTGCAAAACATTCTACAGTTCACAGCCCCCCAAAATAAAGAATTATCTGACCTAAAATGTCAATAGCACTGAGATTGAGAAATCCTGATTTGTATGTATGAATCGCTATGTTAAATACACACAGATACTATAATACATACACGCTCTGTCATTGTATAGACATACACGCTCTGTCATTATATGGCTTCTTTGTGTGTAATTTGTACCAGCCAGATCCACAAGACATTGTTTTCCCAGCCATCTGTTGGGATGCGGAAATAAGCTTTGCTGTTCGCAGCCTGACATTTCATCCCTGTTTGCCTTAATGAGACTTCATTCTGGTTTGGTTCTGCTTCTCTCTGCTCAACAGATTGCATCAAAGTCTGGTTTAGACAAATGAGGCCAGTGGGGCTCCCTGGGTTCTAGCAGAAGTTTGCTGACCGTCTCATAGACTCAAAGAAGGGAGCAAGCGAGTCCCACATATGTTCAGAATTTCGCAAAAGGGATTGTACTATGAAGAAACTTAAAGCAGGGTAATCTTTGTCATCTCTTAAGAAGCTATGATTCTATGATTATTTATCCTTGGACAGTTACTGTAAATTCATACAAATCTTGGATTTCATACCTGGAAAAGACTTTGGAGATGATAAGTCTAGTAAGATCATAGGGGGTGGGGAAAAAATAAAGCCAAGAGAAGTTAAGTGACTTGATCAATGTCACACAGTAATTAAATGTAAGATTTTGACACTACCCATTCCTGGCTGTTCTCTCTGTCACATAATGCTTCTGAAAACTGTTTTTAAAACTGCCAAACTACAACTAAAAATCCAAGTCTCTTGATATCATACTATGCTTATTCTTAAAATATCTCCATGAGACATCATCTCGGTATAAAATACCTTCTTAGTAACATCATTGGATAGGTACACAGTGTGCACAATGATTCAATATTATCTTGGTAAAATGATATGTAATTGAAATGGAAAAATCTTTGAATGAAACTGGTGACTGCCAGCTTCCCAACCTACATGCCTATTATTGTATCTGAGCTGAGCTATAAGCTGAGGTGTTTACTCTTCTTTTATCCAGCCCTCGATAGGGAATTACATTTCAGTTCCCCTCAACCGTTATCGCCTCAGGGTATAACCCACTTAAAAATGCCTGCCAGCTCCCACCCACTCACACACACAAAGCAACTGAGGAAATTCTGAACGCCAGAATGGGAGGAATTAGGTACATAAACGTGTTAGCTCTCCTCTTTCCCCACGGTTTTCATAGCAAATCATGCTGCTTGCCAGTTCTCTACAGAGAAGCAGAGTGTCATCCACCCCTTTTAGCTCTTGGACTTTCAAACAGGGAATGTAGTTTCTAGAATGGGATTCATTGTGACATAATTTCATTATAGCAAAGCAATTGTATGTTCAGGATGCTTCCAACATTTACTGTAGTTTTTTAGAGTACTTCTGATTAGTTAGGTCTGCGTGGCCTGAAGAAATGCACTGACAACTTTCTGAGCCTCAGACTGCTCATCTGTAAAATGGGAATAACAACAGTTACCTCCTTTTCTGAAAGAATTACATGTGGCAAAATCTAGTAAGTGCTGAGCACAGAGTATAGCACTTGGTAAATCGTCAGCCTTTGTTACTGCCATCATCATCGCCATCGTCATTTTCCATAGCTCTGTGGTCTTCTCTGTCACAGGGATGCAATGACTCTGTCCCTGGCTTCTGTCTTAAACTAGACCTACATTGTCAACTGCTGGCTACATGTCTTCCAGATATGATTGTAATGTTTCATATATACAAAACCGAACTAACGATTATTTCATTAAAGACGATGATTTTCAGAACTGCCACAAATCAAGGCTAACTCCTCTCTCGTGGCCAGATCTTATCTAGACTTTTTAACCACAGTGAGAAAATTTCAGGACTCTAAATGACAGAAACAAGTCAAAGGATTTCTCATGTCCTTATAGTCTCAGCTCAAGGCAAAGCCCAAACTAAATTAAACTTGGACACTGTATTACCCCTACCGTGCCCTGTCCTTGCAGAAAGGCAGGGAAGGCTTTGAGAGTTCCAGTGCTCCTGAGCCACTGTCGCTGGCTCCCGTTGGAGGCAGATGAAAGCGGGGAGCAGGGCAGGGGCGGCCCTCTGCCCACCCACCGCTGTCCATCTGCTCCAGCAGCTGCGAGGGCAGTTGTCCTGAATGGAAAGGCCAGAGATTATGCCTGATTATTAAACTAAGCCAGAATCTCCCTACAGCCTAATCCCATTTTCCTTGTGAATTCTTAAGCAAAGAGGTGATATTCTTCCGTGAAGAGTTAGAGTTCGATGCCATCAGCATCCAGAACAACAGAATTTCATGGAAACCTGCAAGCCACAGGGAGAAAGGGGGGGGAAGGGCCCACGGTGACTGCAGGCATGCCTCACCTAAGAGCTGGAGTCGCACGGTCATTGTGATTTTCTCCTCCCTGTAGGTAAGGAGAGAGATTGTCATGTGGCAAAGCAATAGGCTTTTTCTGAAAACCCCCCATAACATTTTATATTGCTTTGCTCCCTATTTCTATTAAAGACCTTACCATCCTCCCAGAGACTCAGAATATAAAACTCAGTGTCGTCTTCTGTTCTCAGCTCTCCTTCCCACCTAGGTACTAGTTGGGAGCTGATGAACACGTCCTGAATTCTCTCTCCAATGCGGGTCTTCCTCTCCTCAGCGCTGCCGCTTTATTTCAAGGGTGGGACATCCCTGACAGGAAGCTACGATCACCTGTTTTTGATCCCCCCTCTACCCCTTCGCCCCTCTTTGTCACTGGTGCAAGGATTAGTTCCCACAAACACATGTTTGGTCCTGCTCAGCCTCTGGCTCCTGCCACCTCCCCGCCCACCCCACCACCCTGCCCCCTGCTCTCCACTCTCTGGCCCTGCTGGGGTGGCACTGGGCTGCCCAGGCACACCAAGGCCCTTCTGGAATTTTCCCCCAGGCCCTGGCTGGTGCTCTGTTACTTATTAGCATGTGTGAATATGAAATATATTTACAGAAAAGTGCACAAAATGTATATTTACAGTTAAAAACTTACAAAGCAAAAAAGTGAGTAACTTCCACGATCAACAAATGAAACTTTGCTGGTAGCCTAGAACTCTTCAGATTCCTCTTGTATCACAACTTCCTTCCTACCCACTAGAGGTAATAAGTAATCTGACTTCTGTAACAATAAGTTCCTTGCTTTTTTAAAAAACAGGGTTTTATTTCCTTTGCATGCATAGGAATATAGTTTAATTTAATTTTTCCAGTTTTTGAACTATATGTGGAATCACGTTGGGAGATTTTATATATACGTGTTTGTGTGTATGTGTGTGTGTGTGTGTGCATATGTGTATATGTTTTTAAAAATATGTCCTGCTTATTTCATTCAATGTTATTGCAAGATTCATCCATGCTATACATGTAGCTATCATTCCCTGATTTTTATTCCTGTATAGCATTCCATTGTATACATTTACCACAGATTATCCATTGTACTGTTAATTTTCATCAGGATTTTTTCCATCTGAGAGCCCATGGCATTGCTGGGTCAGACGCTGTCAGTAGCCAAACTGTCCTAAAATAGGTGCAGTAATCTACTCCTACTCTTGCCGCCCAACCGTGTTCATTTGCCTACTGCCCAAGAGGAAGCCAGTATGCCGGTACAGCAGGGTTTACAGCAGAGAAAGAGTTTATTCTGCATAGTGCTAAGCAGGGAGATGGGAGAAATTTCTCAAATCCACCCCCCTGAGAATTTAGGAGACAGGGTTTTTAAAGATAGTTTGGCGTAGCCAATTGAATCTGCTAATTGGCTGGGTTCAAGGTGGAACCATAGGGTTGTAGAAATTGTCTTATTTACTGACCAGGTTCTTGGGTGGGAGTCACAAGATCACTTGAGTCAGCTCCTCAGTAGGGACAGCTGATCTGGGTGGTCAGCTGTTCCACTGGAATGCGGGACCTGGGAGGTAGCTCAGGAACTACCCCTAGGTTTCAAAAAGGTGATGTCCTCTATGGAGAAAGCTTAGAATCTTTACGACCACCAGCTATGTGGCTCCACAGTGGCAATTATAGAGAACTAAACTGGGGGACAGTGGCTAATTATTATCATTATTTTTAGCTAGGCCTGTGCCTTACTTTTAGCATTTGTAAGGGTGGTCTCGACACGGAAAATGTCAAAAATGGCCCTTGCCAACTCACCCTCGCTGTCACTCTGCATCTCCGCTGGCCAGACCTGCGCATGGCCAGTTGGAGGGCGTGCTGCTGGGCCGGCTGGCAGAGAGCTGCCCCGCCCCGCATGCTGCCGCCTGTTTCCAGACACACTGCTTGTGTGATCCTGATTGGGTAATTTTTGAATCCCACTCTTTTTGATTGGATGTTAAAGCTTGTTGTTGATTGGATGTTAAAGCTTGATGTTGATTGGATGTTAAAGCTTGTAGTTGATTGGACGCTCTTTGAGCTCTACCAAGGGTATAAAAGCAGGAGGAGAACAAGGAAGGATGGTCAGAAGATCAGAAGACACGAAGAGAGCTGTAACACTTGTTAGGTTGAGCCTGCTGTGGAAGAATAAAGGCTGTTCTCTGACTGTTTGTGTGCAGCTTGATTCTTTCCCGGGTCAAGAGCTGTAACGTTAGCTGTACATGTTGCCGCAATAGTCTCACCACCAGTCGTTTATGAGGGCTCCTTTTGTGCCACGTGTTCACCAACGCTTGCCATAGGATATTGTTCTATTGTACCAATCAAGTGGGTATGTAATGGTATATCTTTTAGTTTTAATTGGCTTTTTAAGTGACTTCCTCTTCTGGGTGAAATGACTCCTAGAACACAAATGCCTGTGCTATGTCTGTACTTTTCTTTTCCTGGTGTTTATTAGTTTGCTTATTTGTTTGTTTGTTTTTTCCAGTCCTTGTATAGTTTAGAGGTCAAAGATTCCTGTTTCTGGAGGAATTCCTAGTCTTTTCTCCAACCAGAATTACCTGCTTCTTGGTAGAGTTGGGACAAACAACTTGGTCTCTTAGACATTGCTCAGGCTATATTTTTGTGTATATTTTGTTTCTCAAAATACTTTATTAAGTCCTTATTAAGGAATAAGGACTGGGTCTATGAATAAAATATTCCTGTAATATAAATGAACAGTAGGGAAAACTCCCAGACTTAGGAAGAGGGCAGAGCTGAGGCATCCTAGCTGAAGCCCTATGTTCACCATTGAGACAGGTGGGTTTCTGGATGAACTTCCACGCACAGTCAGTAGAGCCTCGTATTAGAAGACATAAGTGTGTGTTTGCACCATCTGGGAGCTATTCCTAGCTCTGCGACAGATAGGACCAATGATGTGCTCAAGCCAGCTCACACCAGCTTTCGAGAGCCAGCAATTACTTTTTCAAGAATTGTGTGGGCCAGTCATTAAACATAGCAATTATTATTAATTAAATTATATAAACTTACATTTGGGTAAGTTATAGTAAATAGTAAAGACAAAAGATAATACATACTCAGGACTTACCTTACCCAGGCTGTACGTCCTGTGTGGTGGGAATGCTATCTGATAATGTCCCACCACCGTGCATCTCTTCCCAACCCTATATTTATTAGCTTGAAATCAGTCATGGTGGGAGCATTTATTAATACACCGTGGAAATTGGCAAAGACTACAAAGCATGGGCCTTCTCTCCCAAAGAGGTGATTATTAAACACTTGCCAACACACTGCTGGACGGGAGAGTGTTGTTTTGCTGAGGTGAGAACATGAACCCAGACTGCTGGGAGGCTGGTGCGTGAGAGCTCCTCCGTGCCAGTGACCACCCTGTGTCTGCATCTCAGCCAGGCTTGTTATTGACCACTCCACGTCAGTCTGAAGGGTTCACTTGGACTCTTCAGTTATCATGTATTGCATGGGGGTAGGGGAAATAGTATCGGCAACTGTGATGATCGGCTAAGATGTCAGACTTATGGCCTTTGCAGGTGGCAAGGGCTTGCCACGTAAGTTTGAGTAGAAACAAGAAACAGGAACTTGGAAGCATAAAACAGAAGTGCTCGTCTTCCTAACTAATTAATAATTCTTTTTATAAATGACAGTTGCCATCAGCATCCCTTGAATGTAAGAACTGTGTGTGGAAAAGGTCAGCGTTACAAATAGACTGTGTCCCTTCCACGTTCCAGGCACAATGCAAGGTGTAGGAAGGTAACAGTCCCTGCCATCAGAGAGCGAAAAGGGACAATATCAAGCACCTGCAGTGCCACGAGTGGGTGCTGTGACTAAAGGTGGACGGGGTGCCGCAGGAGCACAAGGGCAGGCACCTGGCTCAGTGGCTCGCACAGATGAGAAAGGTGCCCAGTTCACGTGCACCGTTTGGGAAGCACTATGAGCAGCACATTGTTCTTTTCAGCTATACTGGGACATGGCAGAGATTACCGTAAACAAGTCCTCCTAGGCCTTACAAGAAAGATGCTATGATACCATTTCAGGGTAAAATGAAGGGCTTTGTCTATTTCCGACCATCCCCACACCCCTGGCAAACCTGCCTGCTTTCTAACACCTAACATGCTCTAATGAAGATTCTCTCCTAACCTTGTCTTCACACACACACATCCTCTTAGTGATTCATCCCTCATTTGAATTGGAATGGGAATGAAGTTACCAGTACCTGGTCTGAGAGCCACCTCCCCCAGCTAAAGCCTGTGAGCTGCCCAGGTTTCGGGCAGGGAGTTGTTATACAAAGAACAGAAGGAAACTAACATTCAGCAAACTCTACAAAGGGCCAGGCTCTGTGTTAGATACGTTTAACATTCATCTGTCATTCAGCCCAACACCGTAATGGATATTTATTTTTCCTTTCCATTTCCCAAGGAGGAAACTGACTCAGAGTGTCCAAGTGACCTGCCTAAGGTAATGGTGGGCACGGGTATGGGAGAGGCAGGCCCAAGATTCAAATAAACGCCTACTTGACTTCAAAGGCCAGGCCTCATTCCATCATAAAAAATAAAATAAAAAGGAAATTTTACAAGCACACTGTTGCCTCCCATTAGATTTTCATACTTTCCTCCTGGGAAGATAGATCTTACCACTCCTCCTGCCTTCCAATTCCATGCACAGATTTCTTTTCTGTATATCCCTGTAGGCTAGAAAATTATTTAGCTTACTCCTCAGTTTGTATTATGAAAACATTACCTTTTATTATTTTCTAGATATAATGTGATATCAAATAATGTTTTTCTAAATCACATACATTTTTTTTCTGTTCTACAAACACATATGCATACACACACACACACACACACACACAGATACACTCCTGAGTGCTCGTGCTGATATATCCTCTCAGGTTGTTTTCCCCCAATGAGAATTAGTGATATGGGGGGAGAGAGGCAGACTCATAAACAAAATAAGAGAAATAAAAGCACAGAATTGTACCATGACCAGCCCCAATTCCAGAGAAGCAGTAAGAGACTCTCCAAGGGTGATGGCAGCAAGGGGAAAGAAAGGAGGTGACAACTGCCTTCATTCTAAGGTTGACCCATCTTGGACATCGGCTATCAACATGTGGTTTCTAGACCAGCAGCAGCACCGCCTGGGAACTTGTTAGAGATCCAAATTCTCAGGCCTTGCCCTAGGCACCCAGAATGCAAACACAGGGGCGGTGCCCAACACTGTGAGACCTAATATCCTGCCAAGGGATGCAGATGCACACTCCAGTTCACAAACTGCTGGTCTAAAGCCTCATCAAGCATTTAAATTCTGGAAGTATACACAGGTTGCCTTATGAAGTGTTTTTCTATTCAACTCTTCAAAGGTGAACTTGTGGGCAGGTCCTACGTAGCATGTTCTCATTGCGTAGATCCTAAACTCCTTGAGACAAAGACACCATTTTATTTGAATTTATATCCCCAGTGTCTTGTACTGGTTCTGGCCCTAGTAGGGATCCTTAATGTTTGTTGAGTGCAAGAGAAAGCACATTGTGAGGGTGCATTTGTGCATGTATGGGCACACTTGTTTATTCCTGTGGTGGGCGGGCAGAGCGTATGCTCATTACTGAAATTTTCTAAGATGACAAAATTTGCCTCCAACTTGTCCAGCAGCCCTAGACATTGCCCAGGCGTGGAGACTGTAGCCCTTAAATACAGTCAAGCGGGAAACTACCCTCCACACAAGACTACTACAGCAACCAGATGAGATACAATGAGTGGTCTAGAAACCCCACCAGTTTAAATTGAGGATTATAAAAGAAAGGAAATTCAATGTCTAGGCCAAGTTCTTGGTGTTCTTGGTGCTCAGGCTTTATACCACTCTCCTAGATTAAAATGTGTTTGCCTGGGTGGCACACTTAGTCGCTCTCATGGTGCTTTTACTTCATGATGATTTTTTAGATGGCTTTCAAAATAGAACAAACTACAGTGTAATTAGGGATATTTTGGGGATCTCTGTATTTTGCTTGGAAGGCTGAATATGAAGTTCCTTGGCCCACAGACAGAAGTTGCTGGCATGGCACTGTAGTTGTTATTTAGGTAGGGTGCCACAGGACTTTGATTCCGGGTGCCAGTCATAAAGAAGCACATTTTTTTTTTGGCTAGAAAAATTCCAGAGAGAAGAAAAAATACATAAAATAAAGAAGCACATTTTCCCACCACTAGGGCCAAGCCATGATTTTAGATAAATACCTTTTTCTTGATCTTATTCTGACCTGTCTCCCTTTGCTGAATTGAAGGGGTTTTCAGCAAGCTTGGAAGATGTCATTCTGAAAAGGACCAACTTTTGTAGGAGGGAAAGCCACAGGGAGGCAACATTTTAACTACTGTGAATTGAATGTTTTCCTCTCTTTCTGTTTTTTTTCTTCATAGGATGTTCTCTTCTTTTAGCCTTCTTTCCTCCACACCATTCTACCCCTGCTCAGTTTCTACCAATTTCATTTGCACAGTATCCATTTGCCAGTTTAGTTGTTGTTGAGCCCAGGGTTTTCTCTGCAGTGAGTATCTGCTGGTGTGTGACATTATTTGCTTTCATCATAATTTGACAATATTTACACCCAGGAGTCTAGCCTGGTTGAATAGTTTACCTTCTAAATACAAGTCATATGTCATTTTCTTGGTGTTTTGGTCAAAGCTGTATTATTTTCATTCATTCCAATGAGGACTTTTGTTGTTTTGAATGCCTACTGAGTAGGCTGAGTCAAAGGTCACCTCTTCAAGGAATATGCTTTCTACCTTATCCAAAGTTAGTTATTGGGTTTTTTTTATGTTCTGATCCTATTGCATTATAGCTTTCAATGTGAGAAATTAATTCATTTCCTCTATGAGACTATTTCCTTCTTTGTGGTAGTCTCCCCCCCACCCGTGTTTTATCCATCTTATATGTTCCCCTAGCACAGGCCCTGTAGTAGAGCAAGAAATCAGTAAT